TTTTCACTAGGTTTTTGATCTTTTTTTGAAAAGCAAACGCTGTCACGAGATTCAGCGTGATCGATTACATATGTTTCCATTGATTTTTGAGATTATCGTACCTAAAAAATGTTGATCCCGGGGCTTCCATGAAATCCGATACGGCGTCCAAAACCACGAAAGATTAAGGGATCGGTTAGTTTTCATCTTGTAGAAGACACTTTGAACTATCTTTCCATGAAAAAAAACTGTTAGATTCTTATGTAAAATTTTCCGGTTACGAGCTGAGTTTCCAAAGATTCTGTGAAAAACGACTTTTTGAAAAAACAATTTAAAAATATTTTTCCTTGCAGAAACATTGGAGTGTCCTCTCTATTGTTGAAAACCGGACTTCTTTATCTCTTTCCACTCTCAAGATATTCAACAATACAACAATAGAAAGTCTGAACATGATTCTATCCACGTTAGTTTGTTTATTCAATGATTACTTATCATAGTGGAATAGTTAAATATATTAAGTTACGATTATTTAAACTTTCCAAACAAAAAAGACTGTGTTATGTTAACATGATGACGCAAAAAACTTGAATAAAAGTTTTTCAAAGTGCAATGGAAAACAATAAAACCGAAGAAAAATAATAAGTGAACTGTTTTTCTCGGATGTTATATGGAACAAAGTTTCATGTGTATAAAGTAAACATTCATTGTACATTTTCTATTTAATTGTTTCGTCATTGCGGCAAATTAAATTGCATAAGTTGGTCTCATATAGTTAAAATACGTTTGTTGAGTGTTTCTCGTTTTTCATTTTCAATATAAGAACGAAAAGTCATTGAAACAGTGTTATATCATTCAAATAATCAACTATGTCATATGTCCATATTATTTTTATTGGAGAGTCATATATAGTCTCATGGGAAGCCGATTCATACTTTTGTCCAAATTTTTACAGAAGGTCGAGAAACTTCGTTTATTGAAGACCTAAAAACCTTTTGGCGAGAGATTAAATAAATCACGCATTCCAGCCCAATATTTTTCGTGGGTAAATTATTTAAATTATTAACGTGGATAAAACAAGTGGGCGTTACTATAAGCAGAAAGAAGTCGAACATTATCTTTCCTTTCGTCGTGACAGGAGACCTATAAACAAATCGTCAGTCACCGAAAATAGAAAATGACATTTATCGAAATTGCTAGAAACGAAATGGTTCGAAACGTACCTGCTCTTAGCTGTCTAGAAAAAAACACCCATAGAACGAGCTAGCCATCCCATACAACTTCTTGATAATTATTATCATCACATTTTAATGAGCATTGCTCACTCAATTTCCTTGGCCAATGTCCAAAGATCAGAAATATACATTATATCTTTGTTGTTTACATCTGTCAGAGAAAGAGCCAAAGCAACTTCGTAGTCTACAACGATGACATTCCTTCAACCTTTCCAAACGAACGTCTATTTGTTTATATTGAACGATGTTAGGCTATTTTCATTTTGTATTTAGAAAAATTACAAATATTTTTTTTTTCACAAAATCATATAAAAATATAAAAAAAATCAACAACCGACCATCACATCTATCTAACAATAAGTGATAAAAAGTTTAAGTAAAACAAACTGGCTTTCGGTTTGAGACTCGGACAGAATTAACATAGTCATCTGTGTTTTTTTAGTTATTTTACTTCTCGATTATTGCACTGATAGGACTTACTATGCAATTCATAAGCACATACATTATTTGATTAATATAAGGCGAAAACTATTGCGTATTGATCTGGACAGTATATATATAAATTCTAATCAATTTTCAGGAGGCAAATATATTTAACCGGTTTCGATTTGCACCATTAGAAGAATAAATATCCATTCACGACCAAACTCGTCATCAACGATATACAATCGATGTGAGAAATATTATGAGTAAAAATGGATTTGATATGCGTAAAGTATTCGATTTGGATGATAATAGTTCGAAATTTGTATCAGATGTATAAGGGCGAAAGTTTGTCGTACCTAAATAAATTAAAGTAAATACAATTAATTAATGTAATCGAGTATGTAGATGAGAACTTTGTCGAAAAAATCCGTTTTTCATATGGTTATTTCACATACTGAATATAAAATTACTGTATTTGTTTAAACTGCCTCATGCGCGAGTAGTTACCAAATATAGGCAGAGCTTGAGCTTACGTAAAGTCCCTTTTGATTTCTATTAATACGATCATATGAAAGTTACAGTAGAACTGCTGTAAAATAAATGAAACATGAAACAGAATTGCACTTTTTCACACAGATCGACAACGACTGAGAAAATAAAGAAAATAAATTTGAAATGAAATAAATATTGCGACTATCAATGCTAGAATGAGAGTAGAGAGGTTGATTCGGTGTTGATGTCTCAAATGACTGCATATCAGATGAATGTAGAGTGCATCGTACGACTATAACTACCAATGCAATACGAAGACTACTGATCAAATAACTAAAGAATACATCAATTACACTCAGTGAGAGAAAAGATGACTGGGACAACAAACCATTTATTCTTGTTCTACTTTATCTAACGACTCTGTTTCGTTTATTATTTTTTCATTACAGAACATCTGATGAGAGCAAAATTTCCCAAAATTTGAATACAGATTTTACTCATTTCTAGAGGAAGACCTCTCATATTACAGAAATCACTTAACGAACAAAAACACTTGTTAAAATTGTGCTATAGTTTGTATAAAATTAAAATTGACAAAAGTCTCTCAGTTAAATAAGAAGAACAATTTTCTCTCTATAACGAATTTCCTTCTTTCTTTTATCTTTCGAATTCTTTTATTAGAATCTTTAGTATCTTAATAAAGTAGTAAAATTAGTAAAATCTTTAGAATTCTTTTATCTTTCGAAATTTGATAAAACATATAGAAATAGTTTTTATTACTTTCATTTCCGTTTACAAAGTATCGATATTAACCTACTTTTTGAATTATTTCTAATGGTATTTTCATCCAATATAATCGATTGTTTTGAAATAATATATTTATGATTTTTAATTGAACTTAGTGTAACATTATATCGGATATTTGATCGTAAATATGGATAATAATACTCTAATGTTATCTAAATATATAAAACAAAAATAGTAGCATGTAGAAAGGAATTTAAAGTTGACTTTAGACACTTACTGCAGCTAGATCGACAGTAAGAATATCCTCATTATTAGACATTTGTTCAATTTGCAAACGATATCCTAGAAGAAATGAATACAGATTATTGATTATTTCGATATTTCAGTTGACTATTACACACCGGTTAGATAAAGTTTATTATTTGGTGGATTCCACTGTAAATTAATACCAATAGTATTCTCTCCTGTACGATTATAGCTGTATGATAGACCAGAATATTTAATATTTTTTGAGTCTTAAAAAAAAAAAATATAAAACAATAACGTCCAGTTTTGTATTTAGACAACGATTTTTCTTACTTGTCATATGACATGGTGGACGTATAGAACCAAAAACTAGTATATTTGAACAACTAGTGACATTAAACCGTTGCGATAATTTATTACCCGTTTTACTAATTTCATTAAGAACTGGATTAATATTTACTGCATAAGTACAATTAAATCTTAGATCGTATATTTGAAATTGATTTTTTATAGTAGCTGCATCACGACGATAACAACATGATACATCATTTGTACAACTAACTTCTAACCAATATAAATCAAATTGCTGAATTTGAAGAGAAAAATCTGTTTGATCATTTATTGTCCATGATACATTTGCTTTAAGAAGACCATTAATAAAAAATGGTTCAGATATTTTTAAATCACTTATAACTGAATATTCTCCATGACGTTGGTGACGAAGAGAAGAAGGTAAGGATAAAAATGAAGTAGTAGTAGTACTAGATGATAATTGAGTTGGAGTAATGGATATTGATGAAGAATTCATTTGATATGTTATAGTTGCAAATGGACCAACATCAATTTGATCATCATAAGATATTATAGAACGAATCTAAAAATATTGCAAATTCTATATTCTGTGTAAATAAAAATATTTAGAGTATATTGTCACTATACGGTTTCTCTTCTGCTTAATTATTTTAAGTTGAGTTAGTTTTGTTTCTAATGTTAATTATTTTTTGTCAATATATATGCATGTGCTGCTCTAAATTGATTGGCGGTTGAATGAACTTTGTTTATCCTGTTTTCTCAATGATTTATTATCTATAAAACTTATTGATCTTGTCTAGCCAAATATATTTTAACGGATTTCAGTACAATTGTATGATTTGTTTTTTCTAATATTCCGGTATAACTGATAAGATACACTCGAACTATCTTTCATCATTTTGGACAAACATACACTTGAAACATCAAATATGAGATTCACTTCACATTTTTTTTTTTATAATAGCCGTCGTCTATTTCCGCTTTTTTTTTCTCTAACTGGTCTTTACAAAAGAAAAAAAATTAAACGTCACATCATAAATATTTAAAGTCAAATTGATCGTTACGCTTATAGCGGTTAATTAAAACGGAAGGAAAAACGATTTTTTTTTTATCATTCTGGCATATGGATTTTTATATTCAATATTTGAATTCCAATATAGAAGAATACCACTTCAGATATATCTACAAAATGTAACCTTGATATAGTTTATATTCAAACAGCATCCAATATAAAATTGAATTAGACAATGATTTTCTATGTGTTCTAATGAACTAATTGAAAGAGACAGCATAGTTCATTGTACAATTAGAAAAGAAAGAGAAGACGATGATATCCAGTGTTAATTCTTAGAACTCGAGAGAAAGATTGATTGTTGTCTATAGACTATAGTCAAAGTGTTGGATTGCTTCAAATAAAAGGTACTTTATATGTGAAAAATGTTCAATGTAGATGGACGTAATAGTTGTCTGTTAGTAGTATCAGACTTCGTAATCAAAGAATCCCACATCAATACATGAAATTCGTGAGGATATTATTTTTCACAAAAAAAACTGATCTACCCTTAAGAAGGATCTAGTACTGAGTTTGAGTCTTACCGTAAAACGATACATTGTGTTGACGTTTAAGTATGGTACTGTATAATCATAAATGGGCGTTGACGATAATTCAACATTGACGAATTTGTCATCATCGACTATTTGTGCTATTTCCGAATCTGGTTTCCATGAAATCTAGAATTTAAAATAATTTATTGTTGAATGAGATTGTTTAATACTATAATAGAAGATATAATAAACCTTGTATCCAGTAATTGGTAATTCACTTTGAGAGTTTTGAATCCAAGTTAATGTTACATTATATGATCCGTCGTTATTAAACACGGAATTTTTTACTGTAATATTTGTTGGAATTGGTATGGATTTTGGTTCTTGAAATAGACAAATAGATACGTGTGAATATAGTTGACATGTTTCTTAAATAATACTTTACCAGGAGTTAATCGAAAAGGTGTAGTTGGTTGAGAGAATGGCGAACGTCCATATCGTGTTACAGCTGCTACACGAAAACTATACCATCTACCACGATGGATATTTCTTATTATTGCTTTATTATGAGATACTTCCTATAACACATTATATTTTTTCAATAATTATATTTTCATTCGAATTTGCTTATAAATTATATGCTTACTTCTTTTATAAATCCCCATTTTGATACTTCTTGTGTAAACGGATGTTTTTTACTTAAACTCCATTGTGCTTCGATCACATAGAATATTGGCTCTGTTTCATTGTTCGTATGATGCCATTTCAATTTAACCGTTTTACGACTTTTTCGTTCAATCGCTGTTACATTATATGGTATTGGTTGATCTAAATAGGAAAAAAAATAATGAATTTAGAATAAAAAATACTTTTTTTCCATTTAAATTATTAATTTCAAATTCACATTCTCATGTGTGTATTTTTCATGATCTATTTTGTTACTATGATCCTAGAAATCATTTCACCTCATTTGTTATGATAGAATTCAATATAGATTTGACAGTACTTATAAACAATAATTTATGTGAAATATGCGTTCAAAAATTCAAGTTATTCGACAAAAAAAGAATTGATTAAAACTTGAGATTTTCAAGAGGTTTTAATGTATTGGGTGAATAGATATCCTCTCAATTCGTCCCTAACTGATCTCTTAACTGATTCCTTCTCGATTTTTTCAATATACAATATATTTTTCATATTATTAACAGTTTATTGGGTTTTTACTTCCCCAATGATCTGATATTGTAACTGCCCTCCTCCCTCCCCCCCAAAGAACAGAAAGCCACTTCCAAATAAATCGACATAATGAGAACCATTACCGCAAAATAGTGGACCATCCGTATTAGAAGATCATCGTAAAATGACGAATTCCAACGACAAAACAGAAGGTCATGTTCTTCTATTCTTAGAGAACGTTCACAGTGCGTCATTATTGAGTATGAGATACTCAGGTGCAAATATGAGACCTCCTACACAAAAATTATCAATTATTCATTGAATTTGGTAAAAAATTCTATATCACTATGAATTCACAATGATTTACTTATGTAATGGTGTATTTTCCAAATATTAAAATTAATGTGAGCGTTTCTTCCATGAGGGAAGAAACAGCTTTTTGGACAAAAAAAAGTCAACAAATATATATGAGTGGTTAGTTTTTTATTAAAAACATTATCGTGACAATACTAACAACATTTCTGATGATGAACAAAAGCAAGCAAATCATTGATATTTTGGAACAATAGGTTTGGTATTAATATCATCAAATATTATTGAAACTATATGGGATGAAATAATAGATTCATATACACCAGATCATCATATTGGTACTATTAAATTTAATGATTATTTAGTACAACCATATGTTCATGAGAATATATCTTTCTATGGTACTAGTACTTTGAATGTAAATGAATGCTATTACGGATGATTTACTACGAAAAAATAATCATGTAGAAGGTTACAACAGTTGTTTAGAAAATAATTTTTATAACTTTTCCTCATATTTTTTAGTTTGTTAAATTATTACACAATATAACAAACATTTATATTAACATCATACAGTTGAAAAATCAGATATTCACATAAGAAAAACATCTTATACTGATACAACTTTTTGATGATTATAAACGAAGAAAATTAACTAACGATTCAATCGAATGTGAACATACTGTAGACACAACACATGTAAAATCGTAGAACCAGTACTATATATATAAATATATACATGTAGAAATGATTTTTTTAAGACGAATTGTGATCTATCTCTCTTTCCAAAATAATAATTGTATTGTTTTACAGTTCATGATACATCTTAACTATAAAATTAGATCATCTATGTCATTGAAACGCATTAAATACTCTGTAATTTCAATGCTATATATTAAATGAATTAAGAAATATAAATTAACAAAAAAGTTGAATAAGACGAGTTTAGAGAGAAATTACCGATAAATCAAAAAAAAATGCATTGAACAGAGAACAATTTTCCAATGTTTGGAAAAACAGTTCGCATTTTGCTTTTAAAAAGAGAACAGGTCTTTGAATTAAATATCGAACCACGTATTTCGTTTTCGCTACGAAACTTATGTATTAATTTTATGGATATTTTTTCAGTAAGACGTATATTTTTACTAATGACGAATAAATTTTAAAATTTTATAATGAAGATGAACATCACCAAAAGTCAGGAGATTACATCACATTCGAAACAGTTTTGAAAACCGTTCTCCAGACAATGTTTTCGAAAAAAATTTCCTTTTCCAACGAAAGAGTAAATCGTTCTTCAAATAGGGAAAAACTGTTCTCTATAAATTCTTGTCATAAAAGCGCATATACCTTTTAACTGAACTTTTTTTAATACCCTTCTCAAAGTAATAATTCAATTAAATTGTTTTTAATTCTTGATTACAATATTCAATTATTTCTTCTTTTTTTGAAAAATTTTTCTAAAAGTATTTAGAAATTTTGCAATAAAGTAGCTTCGGGCTTTAAAACTTCAAATTTTATCATTTATTTTGTACGAATTCTTTATTATTATCGACAATTTGTTTAAAAAAAAACTTTTAACATGCCTGACACACACAATAGATCTAAATCTTTCTTCAAATATTCTGATGAGAATAAATTACATAGTAAATTCATGTTTTATATAATATTTTATTGTTTGTTTCATTGCTTTAGGATAATGATGCCTACATCTGTTATGAATTTTAAAGCTTATTCCTAGAAAAATCTTTTTCAATATGTTTGATACATATGCTTATTTTCAGCATTTCTCTCTCTCTCTCTATACATATCTATATACTGTACATGTGATTGACATGAATAAAGATAAAACAACCAAACCGTAATTATTCAACGATTAACTGTCAATCATTTATGTGAAATTGACCACCTGTTGTTAGGATAGACTTTACTTAAGTGTCAATCAACAAAATTGATTTCTTTACCAAATAAAAAATAAAAAATCAAGTACATATCTATCGACAAAGACAGATTATCACTTGCCTTCATTTGACCTGTTAATGTTATTTATTTCACCAATTTTACAATCTTCACGACATTGATTGTTACAACAACGATTTTTTGTACAATCATGATCGAGACATCTATTTTGACAGTCATCATCTAAAATGAAATAATAATTAATATTCAAGATATTTTTCTACAAAGAATAAAAATTGGTCTAGTCATTGTCTTATTTCCTTATCTTGTGTGAAATACAATTGATATACATACATATTTCACACATTATAAAAGAAAAGAGAGCCTTAAGGGAATAGGACTAATATATTTTTAATGAACGGTCATAAGAGTTAGAAAAAAAAATTCAATTAGACAATTAACCGATTATTAAGTTTATAATGACGAGAAGATGAGTCTTGTTGACAGAAAAAAATAAAATCACTAGAGACTATAGTAGACAATAGTTTCCTTAAAAAATTCCATAGACATCTTAGACAAAATGTTTAGTAATAAAATTAGACTATTTACCTGTTGTACAATCAGAATTTTGTTGATAAACATTTTGGATAAATGAACAACTTCTCAGACAATCGAAATTTTGCTATAATAGAATAAAAAAACTTTTTTTTTTCAAATCTTCTTTTTAGAGCGATCATCATATATGGTAGTTATAAGCAATAAATTTCATGTTCATTCTAGAAGGTACAATGTACTCGTAAACATCGACAGATCATCAATAATGCAGATATTAAATAGTCAGTGGCTGATTCATTGAATATTTTTTAACAAGAGACGCATGATATACAGTGTTTTTCTTTTGTACCATTTATACTTGTTACATGAATAAAGCAATATACTACTACTACTACAGTGTTTTCAAAGTATTTCTGTTAATTTTGATTAGAACGTATTCCTATTGGTTAAATACGGATCGTGAGTATTCTTCAACATCAGATCATCAGTTTTTTGAAAGATTATGTTTAAATTTCAAGTTTAACTTCGTTATCTTCGACTTGTCAATATTCGTTTGTAAAAATTCAACTCTATGACATAGTTCGCCTCTAGCTAAAACTTTTCATTATTAACGGGGATAGCATGTTATTGAAGCGGATAATATACATGTATATAGTTTGACCTTCAATATTCATCATCATTACTCATCTCCTCAAAAATGTTTTGTACCATCAAGATATTTATTTATATATTGTTTATCAGAAACAATGACCAATTTATTCTTAATAATATCATCTCAACTGTTCTATTTCAATCATTTAGCTCTACCAACTATGACAATTAGCTTCAATCCACATCCACATCTTTGTAGTGAACAGTTGTACGAGTAATCTGTCCAATGAACTATCAAATATAAAGATTCTCATCTTTCTGTTGTTGTCTTTTTACAGACGTGGACAAATTTTTCTTGTAATTGGTATCATTATTGTACAACTGATATTGCCCATACGATATTTACATTTAATAGGTTCAGTTTTCAAAAATATGTTATGTAAAAGAAAGAAGACTTACTGAACATATTGCATTGCAACTATCAGGATTCGATAAGAGAGGTGGATCAAGATCACATGGTGGAAGACACTAAAACAAAACAACAAAGATTTATTTATATGACTCATATGATTATGAAAATATTGAAACAAGTCGAATTGAATCAAGATATACTCAATTATTAATTCTCGACGACTAAATTCTATTTTTAATACGTTGTGCTTTATTTTTCAAATAAAAAATTTATTATTTACTACATTTTGAAGAATTTATGTTGTTATTATTATTAACTACGCATGAAATATCAACTATATAATTTCTATTTGTCAAGAACATATTGTTTTGTTGAAAAACAGTCTGTATCAAGAGGAATAACGTGTTATTGAACTTAAATAATAAGTGGAAGTATTAAGTAGATCAGCATTTCTATTTAAGAATGAGAGTACTTTAACTATGAAACAAAAAAATCTTATTCTATCATATGTTGATGTTTCTGTTCATTTCGTTTCTATACTAGACACAACACTATTCATGAACATAAAATAATTAGCGGTTATAACATATGAACACAGCATGAAACGTAATATAATTCTAATACTTGAAATTTAATTTTTGAATAGCAAACCATTCATAAAATATTTGTTAGATATTATCATTTCTCAGTAATTATATTTCATTTTTCTATAAGTCTAGCAAAAATCATTATTTTTAGATTTTCTAAATATGATAAACTTTGTTTTAGATGTTTAGAATACATAAAGTACATAATATCTCGTGAATTCTACATTAAATATGTTGTTATCAATATTCATACGAGATGAGAACATAAAATTTTACTTCTGAATGAAAATACGATTTTACAGTTTGATCTAGATATTAGAAAAAACTGTTGTTAGTTTTATTTTAAAATAATTAACTATAGTCGCTTTCATTATGGCTGTTGTTGAAATTTTTTGTTTTATATACCTATGTGGTTCAGATTTCAAATGTGTTCATTATCGAGACTATCATATATATATATATACACAGAGAAGAAGGAAAAAAATAACATTTATATTTCGTACTGTTGTTAGACAGACATTCCCTGGAGTGCAAAAGAGCTAATTTGACTATGATTTTTTTTAAAGTATTTATTATTCGTATGCTAATTTAATTATGATTCTATTTCTCTCTCTCTCTCTCTCTGTATTCTTTATATATATTCAAAAAGTTCGACGCGGTATCAGAATGAAAAAGAAAACTGAAGTGCAAAAAGTTCATCTCATTAAAAAAATTTGATCATCCGTGCAATCTACACAAATAAAAGATAAACAAACTACAAAAGTATTACTGAATGCGAATCAAACGTTCACTTATGATCTAATACAGCTCATTAGTATTTGTACAATTATCATCTGAAAAAGTAAAGTACAGAAAATATTAGAACATCAAAGCAAAACTAAATTCAAAAATCATCGTAGCTTGGTGAATCGATATCTTGAAAATTTATAAAATTTTTGATGACTTTTTGAAAATAGATTGTCATCCATTTCCCTCTAATTCTATGTACTTTTTTCTTGAAATAATTATTTTTGCTTTTAAAATTCCACATTCCACCAGATAATTTTCCACTCCATTTTATACATTCCATTAGAACGTAATATTTCAAGAAATTGCAGTCAACGGTAGATGTTTTGTCAAATCTTCAAAACTTAATACTTTTAAAAAGTTATCTACAATATTATTTAAATTGTTTTTTTTCCATTTTACTAGGAATTTTGAAGGAAAGATGCTAACTTGTGTACAATAAAGTATCACTTTATTTCTTTTCTTTTTGACTTGATGTGATAAGACCTTTGTCAGCCTTCGATTTGTCTATCAATAATAAAGAAAATTTTTCATGACTAATTACTCTTCTTACTAGTATTTTTCACTCTGACATTCACATCTATTATCCTATCGTTTTATCTCTGATGTTCACTTTGATAATAAGTAACATTTTTAACCTCAAGCAAAAAACAATTAATAATATATCAATAGATAGAGAGAGAGAGTTCAGGTTTGCATTTCCTCTTGTCATATGTCTATATAAACGAGATGATATTGACTAGGCTATAAAGTAGTTTCATCATCAATCGACAAGAATTTAGCCTTCAGTAATATTTTGTTGTTGTTCATTGATAGAGATTTGACAGCAATAATTTGTATTGAAAATATTGATCATAAAAAAAAATTTTTAATTGTAGAAATTTAAAAGTAACTCTAATTAAGTAACGTTTTTTTTTAAACAAACTGAACATATGTTCGGTTTACACTGCCATTGTACTGTTCATTCGAAAAAAAGTGAAATAAGAGAGAGAAAAAGAGTCGATTGAAAAAAAAAAAAAGAGTTGATTCTTTTACAGGTAGTAGGCAAAGATTGAACGAACAAAAATAAAAATGATTTTAGAACTCATTGAAAAACAAAAACGTTCCTTTCATTCTTACATTTTGAATATATACCGGTCAGCAAAGATACCGGTTTTTTGTTTGCTAATAAATAACATCAATATTTCGAATATCAACAGTACAATGACAGTGCAAATTACTGAAATGATTAAAGTTCAAAAAATAAAAGGATCTTATTAATTTGAATGAATGAATATGTTTACTCATACGTCTTATTAAAAGAATTTATAAATCGACATTGAAGAGTACTGAAAAAACTTTCTGTTGAAATATTTTATGACACAAACGAACATTCAGACACGTTTTTCTTTTCTTTTTCAGAAAAAGTCACATCACAGTTGATATTGTTTTGGATCACATTGATCCAAAAGCTCGAAAAACGTGTGTCAATGCATTTGTTTTCTCGAAAAAACTTATTCGTTCGAAGTGGCATTTGAGTGGATTGATTTTTAATCGAAATAAACAATTTGTATCTAGCCGTGTCTAAACGTTTGTTTGTATGATAAAATTTTCCAGTGGATTTACCATTATACATACAAATATTTTATAAAGGTTGTATTATAATACGAGAGATATTTAGAAAAAAAGACATTGTTTTTACTTCTTAAAATACTTAATATTTGTTATGTTATGTTAAAATGTTAGGAAAGTCAAGAACGTTTGAATCATGATATTTCATCCTCCACGTTAAAGACGATGCTGTTTAAATGTCCCTGTTTGTTCAAAAATATACACGATACTCTACCATGTTCAATGTTATAAATGTGGTTCTTAAACTGAAATGAGTTTCTTTAATTATCATATACACTTTTATCTATACCATATATTAATGGTAATGATGTTTTTCCTTCTTCATTTCATATAAGTGTATAAGACAATGATTATATATTATATTATTGAACTAATATAGACTAATATTTAGAAAATTATCACAAGAACAAAAAAATATTTGTAATCATTGTCAGATATATAAAATATATTTTCAGATATCTTTAGAATGAAAATCATTTTTTTTTTTACTTACTGTACTACACACAGCATTCAATGGACATTTTCCCCATATGGACCGCCATTGCGGTTTAATTCCATTTGATCTCTAAAATAAACAGAAATTTAATTAACCTTTATGTGTGACGAAGTAACGTTATGTGTCGGTACATAACATTCTAATAGAGTACAAATTAAAGCGTACGATGTCAATGTGTGAAAGTCAGTTAAATATTCATTAAATTTTTTACAAGGTTAAATTAATCGAATATAAAATAAAGAAGAATTTTTTTTCTTGTGACTAATAACTGTGAAGCGTTTTTATATATAATTATATATGAAGAAAAAAAGTTAAAGAAGTGAGTAGCGTCTCCTCATCTAAAATATGGTTATCATCATCATTTCTTTTTTTTTTAACTTGTTAATTTTACTCTAGAGAAAGCGGAGAGAACATTTTAATAATAAATCAAAATAAAATAAAATATAAAAAAAGAAATCTACAGCTGAGTGAATATAATCAATGTTCAAAATTGTCCAGCAGATGTAATGTGTTAAGTGTTTCTTTTCATGCTGTTTTATCAACCGTTACTATTCTTTCCTAGATGTGATTGTAAACATAAAAAATAGAAAAGTAATAACGAAAGAAGTCTCATGAACAGTAAAATAAAGAATACAAACAATAGCGAATCTAATGAGAGAATTATGAGCAAATTTACATGTTAACTAAATTCGATCGATAAGCGTTGACTATAAAAAGTTCAAAAGAAACAACGATATGAAAACATTTGGAATTTGACAAATAAAAGATCAAAATATCTTTTATAGAGATGCACTATGCTAAACAAAAGTATCTGTCAAAACTTAATCTAATTTTAATATCTTATTCCTTAATAGAGCAAACATTTGTTTTTTCGGATATGTAAACTAGGAGAAAGATCCAACAATTTAGCTAATAATTCATCATTTAACAATAAATCATCGTACAAATATTTTCTCGTACTAGAACGTAATAAGATGAATGTCGTAGTAATGGTGCAACATTATTGAAAGAAACCGTACTAATAGGCAAAATGTTAGCCTTTCTAAAGATGGAACTTCACATGAGGATCGTCATGTTACTAGAATAAAACAATGTACGAGATCGATAAGAGGGAAGAAGATGAGTTCGTATTAGTGATAGATCCAGTAGATATTTTCCATTATGTGTCATTTTTCGTAATGAAAATTATTTTTTTATACTTGAAGATACGTGCAGAAGCATGTATCGCATGTTGATAGAATTTTTTGCTTATGTCGTGTGAGAGAGTTGTCTTCATTTTCAAAACAGTTTTCCTCTGATCACTTTATTCTACCTTATTCGGCCAATTGCCAAAAAACTTTAGGCTGAACACCGGTGGTGCATCTGAGACAAATATTAGTTTCCATGATGGATAGTTGATATAGCAAACTCATCACAAGATATGGATCGACAGTGATGTATTTATTTACTGATTAATGTAAATTAACTAGTGATGTGGAACCTTGCTAATGCCAACATTTCTAATAATTCCGAGTAGTGAATGATGAGAATGTCACTATTTGATTAACATCTCAATTATATCTTATCATAATCATATTTAATATTGTAAACCGTTGAAACACTAAGTTGAATGATTACTGATATAAGTAAAAATCAATTGATTAGAAAAAAAAAAGAGAGTAATTCAGAGTAAATGCGGATAAATATTATATATCCTACAAATTACATTAATAGGCAATATGATCTGAATATCATAGTCATTTCTATTTATTTAGTTGTATCACTCTTCTAAAGAAGTACCGAATAGTCACAAAAAAAGGGTGAATTTTTTTATAGGCAGTCAATACTTATCAATGATATTTCAGGTTATTAAAAAGTAACGTGATCATTAATATTCGTCATATGTACACTTCTTATTGAGTTTTTATTAAAAAAATAAACTAAATGATTAGAACTTTCCTTGTATATAACTTATTAATAATAAACAGTTGGTATACACATATCCACACATCTTCATCTGATAATAACATCATGTAGAAGACAAACGATCTTTATTTTCATTTCCATTTACACTTGATTATAATGGAATTCCTTCTTTGACTATATGAACAAGATATGAATATTATTTTCCATCTCACATTCAGTTTTATAGAATCAGCTAGTCTTTCATTGTATTATTAAAAATTTTTCTTTAAATTCTATTCACTTTTTTCTTTCCATTCTATTCTATGTGTTTATTCAAAAGAAATGTTTAATGTATATGCCTTTTACAATGTATTACTTCTCTGTAGCTAACAATGTAATTAATCAAACGCTTCTACATATTAACTACCATAAAATGTTCATTATTGATCTAGTACAAATTATTTTGACTAGGTTTAATATTTGTTCAATTTTTGACAAACACATACATATGTACTTTTAAATGTATAAGGATAACCTATGTTATGTTATCTATTTTGTTAAAAGAAGATAAAAAAAAGATTTCTTTTTTTTTTTCAAATATACAATGTAAATACAGAAATATCCACTACTCATTGTCACATATATTGTTAAACACATTTATAAGATAGTATATTCACGTTTTTGTGAATTAAAAAAATAAAAGAAGCACGAGATATCGAAAAGGAGAAATAAAAGAAATTTAATAATGATCAACGAAGAGAATTGAATGACAAACATGAAATATCATGTTTTCATATGAACAAACACGATGATTTATTTTTATTAGAGATTTAATAGAGAATACTAGAATAATGACATTGATGTATGAGATTTCAATCTATTGTTCATTTTTAAATATACATAAACATTTTAGACTAAAAAATAAACGTTAATATGCCTTTAGGTAATCTTAAATTACTAGAATTAAGTTTACATAAAAATAAAAAAAAACTGTCGTATTTGTTATGGTTCAAAAAAAACAAAATTTAGTTTGATTTATTTAGATTAGAGATAGTATTATTCTAGATAATTATGTTGACTCAATAACAAAAATGTGAATTGTATGAAAGAGAAAGAAATGAACAATATTGTCATCCATATACAAACAAACTATAAAAAGAGAAATCTTCTACTGCCTTTAGCATCATCATTCATCTTGTAGTTTCCAAAAACAGGGGAAATAGAAAAGAGCTTCTATTATTTGAAAACTAATCATCCAGATCAAATTTCCTTCTAGGATATTCATAGAATATCATTATCTTATCTTTATGACAAACGACATAAACTCGACAAGAAAAGCACAAAAGAACTTCTGAAATCCACCGGTCAGCCTCGAAATATATCAGTATAATACCAAACGTTATTCTTTTCCATCACAGTATATATATATATCTCAAAATGGACGTTAGAATATCATTCTTATCTGTAACAGATACCATTAACTATTGATCTACAAAATAACCTTGGTGAACCTTAGTAAAATAAACAATACTAAAATTTATATCAATATACTCTTCTTTATATGACAGTTTTTTTATTCATTCACAAAATAAAGGGGAAAATATATTGTTTTCTTAACGTAGATATAGACTATGCATCAACTATACAAAATGATATCATGGAACATATACCGTGAGATAGATTTATATGCATACAATATACAAATCGAATACATTATATTACCGAATAGATGACCATCTGGTAGGATATAGGTGTAAGAAAACATTAAACTATCATCATTTGAGTGCTCGTCTTTAGATCATTAAAAAACAGCATAAACATTTATACTGACGGACTTTACGTGATTTTAGTTGCGATTTCTTATCAAAATGATAATCTAAAACTCATAATATGTAAAACGTCGATCAGTTTCGCTTAAGTCAATGAATAATATTCATTATTTTCTCACCCATGCAACCTATTATTACAAAATTTAGAAAAAAATATTAACTATTCAATATTAAACTTTGATTTCAATTAAATTTAAAGTATTCATCATCAAATTTTTCTATTATTATTCATCTTGAAAGTTCCGTTTCGTTATATTCTGTCAAAGAATCAAAATGTCTGTAATATATAATTTTCTGATTGGCATTATCTTTAAATAATTTATACATGTTTTTTCTCTCGTATTTCACTCTAATTATCGTATCCAAAAGGAAATCCTTTTTTTTCTCTTATGTACAAAAGAGCAGGTGAACAATTGTTCATTTTTTTTCTCCCTTTGATATACATGTACACTTCTTTTCTTTTCCTTTTTTTTAAGGACAATTGAGAAAAACTTCTTTTATAATGTACGTTCTTAAATCATTTTTTAAATCAAACGGATGTTGACACGTATATAGTGTACAAAGAAAATGATGAACATAAAAAAATTGAAACAAAATCTATGAATGTTTTTAAAAGTTTGTTTAAAGATGTTTAGAATAATAACATTCGTCGGCTCTCAATTAGTCTATAAATTTCTCATTCTAAGACGAAACAACAACATCTCTTATAAGTAAAAGAAGACTGGAAGCTGTGAAAAGTCATGTACAAAGCGTATAAACAGCGACAACATACACACACACACACAATCAAAAAAGTGGCTGCTATTGTTTTGTTTGTTTCTCTCAAGTACAATTAGAGAGTAGAATAAACTTTTAGAACAACTCTTACGTTTTTTTTTTTAATTTTCTGTTCAAAACTGACAAATCATTTCAACTGTGAACAACAAATATATCAGAATAAAACTTCACATACTGTTTATAATCCATGTTAATTCTAAAGACAAAAAGATTAGGTTTTTTTTGATGTTCTTCATCGCATAGACTTGAGTACTCACTTTAGTTAATTAGTAGCCTTAAAAATCATTATAGTTTCGTTAAAACTATATACATCGGATAGATAAGAACACTTACTGATTTATAAAATCTTCGTTTTACTCAGAAAGAACGATGTATGAACTTTGAAGTTTAAGCTGCTTTAACACTAATTTTTATTAAATAGAAAAATTTGTTAAAAGATTGGTATTCATCATTTTCTAAATATCTTCATTTATATGAAGAAAACATGACATAACAGTCTTAAGAGTTCAAATTATAGTATATTGTAGTTCAAATTTTTCATTTTTGTCTGATACATTACGCAAAACTATCTGCTGTGCATTAGCGTTTCATAAACTAAACATCTCATTGATTTATAAAAGTTTGCGTTGTTTGATATATTTCTATTCTATTCAATAGGTTAGGTCTATTCTGCTTTACACTGAAAACAAAAGTAGAAGTCGAACAAGTCAACAATTGGAAACATTCAAGTACTTTATAGAGAGTAATTATAACTGTTGTGAAACTTACCATTTGTTGATTTAGATCATGTTGTCGTTTTAATTTTTTATGACGTTTTATTAATAAATTTTTTTCAATTTTCTGATTATTTGTTGTAATTATTGATAATATCCATCGGTATTCATATATACACTGTGCTTTACCTTAAAAAAATTAAAATTCTGTTAATGAACCACTCTATGTCTATGTGTAATAGAGAAGAAAATAATCATACTTACATTGTGCACTAGCAAGTGCATTAAAACCATTTGATGCACATAATTCTCTTAGATAAATTAATAATATTAAAATAAACTCATAGATAATGATCTTCTGCATGAGTAATCATTACACAATTAAAAAATAATAACAAAATAATGCCTAATTAATTATATCGTTTAATATAGATATGATAGTTATGATTTCATATACAATTTTAAAATACAATTTGATTAAAGATGATCTACCGAAATATTTGCTTTTTGGATAACATATTCAAGTAGAATGAGCGACATAGCAAGAGAAAATGACATATCTAAAACGATATGATATGTCAAAAGATAAATGTTATGAGAATGTGTAAGTGATCAAAAGAAGAAGTGAACGTATAGAGATAGAATGGTAGTCATAAATATTTGCAATGATTTTGGACTGCTGCTGAGTAAAAGGAACACCAGAAAGAACGACATGTGACTCTAAATCTATTATTTTTAGATTGATCTATGGTAAACACGATGTAATACTCCTTTAGGTGAAGAATATCTAGTGAATGTCATTCTAGAGGCAATAATCATAGCAAGCAGTGACAGATGTACATAGTACCTATTCTACTCAGATGAAGTTGTGGACAAAAATATGCTAAGCTGTTTGTATCTTCTTTCAACGACTATTAACTTAAATATGGCTTGATTATGAAACGATTGCCAAAATGCTAATTAAGATCTAAAATATTCTGTTTTTTTCTCTACTTACGATGCAGTACAAGTGTGATAATTATTTTCAATTGTAACCTACTTTTGACAATATTAGTCATTTGCATAATATTTCATGTAGTTAAGTCGGTGACTTTACACTATGGTGTCAATAGATTCAAAAAAAAATTTTAACTCATTTAGATATAAGCTATTTTCCGCAACATATACAGTTCCTTCTTATTTCTATCAATGAGCATTTGATTAATATTCATTCATGTTCTCTTAAAGCTCTTTTTCTGTCTGTTCTCTAAATGTCTCTATGTATGAAAATGTGAACTACAAACCGAGAAGTTTTTTTTTCTCACTTTCGCTCAATCATGCAAACGATCTTGTACATTTTCTTCTCTTCTTCTCTCTCTCTCTCTTTTCTATTTCTATTTTCTATTTCAACCTGATAATTTTTTTCCTCCTTATTTCTTGTAATATCCAAGTGCTTGTGTTTCTTCTATTTCTCATTTTTTTTTCTGAACACTTCATCACTGTATAAGTGTAGTGTATGTGTATAGAATACACAGTAGCTAGATATTTTAGTTTTCAAAGGAAAAGACAAGATTATACTTTGTTAAAACCTGATTTTAGTGCTTCGCAAAAAAACAAAACATTCAAAATTTATATTCCATCGTCGAACTGCTGGAAAAATTTTATGACAACTGCGAGATAGTTGTCTTTTAGGATGTTCTAAAGATCAGTATAAGATAAAGATCTAAATTTTGTAGATTTGTATTTGATTCGAAGCCACCACTTTGTTTTGTCTGATATTTGTAGGTAGAGAACACGCACAATTTTGTACAGAATACGTCCAAAACATTCAACCAAATTATGAATGAGTAGCTATGTATATTGGTTGACAAAGATGATCGATTTTCATTAGAACTCGTACTGCAGTTCTCTACCAACTGATTTTGTGTAGAAAAACGTTTTAATTTACAAGAATCATCCTGCGATTCCAACTTCGTTATATATGTGAATGGGATTCACCGTCTTCTTTCAATCGAAGTCGCTGTTAGTTTATTTCATTCTAAAATTCGTATAAAAAAGTCTTGTTTTTCAATACTGATAAAATCAATCAATCTATAAGGATTTATAGGGTTGAATATTGCCGTTAACACATTGGCTATTAGTTATTGTGTATAAATTCGATTAAAGATAAAGTGAAAATTTCTGAGTTTGTCTTGAATATTTTGGTTGTATTATGAATGATCTGAATTGGCATTTATTATTGAAATGAGAATTGAAAATATAGTTTAACAATAACAGACAATGAACAGAAGTGTCAGAAACGGTTTAGAATATCGAATATAATTTGTTATTCAAAACATTTTATAGGTGAAAATTTTTATCTATCCGTGTGATTATTTAGAAACAATACAAAACTGAAATGTTTTCACATATATGTGATTATCTATAAATGCAATAGTGATAATAATAATAATAGGGGAACAAGGGTCCAAATGCGTCAAATCACCTTTTTTTTCGTTTATCTTATGATAAACTTTTCTTTAAACTAATTAAAGTATACTCGGAAATATTCTTACATTAGAAATAGAGTATTTCGGTTATGAAGAGGACTCGTTCATTTTTTCTAAAAAGTCGAAGTCTCACGACTGCTCCTATAAATTATTTCGACATGTGCACGAGAGTAATTAATTATTCATCCGAACAAAAAAATAAAGTTGGTTTTCATTTGCTGAAACGTGCTTTTTTCGTATTCAGTACACTCAATAACCGAGAAGATTTTCTATTTTTGACGAGGAGTACTTCCAAAGTTGAGGAAAAAATGTCAAACTACTATTATTTTCTGATGGAAATTTTTTTGCACCCAATTTTGTTTCAAAATTTTTCCCCAATTTTGAAAGTACTTACTCCACGCCAAAAATAGAAAGTCTTCTCGTGTGTCGAGTGTGCTGAATACGAAAAAGCACTTTTCGGCAAATAAAAATCAACTTTATTTTTGTTCCGATGATATGAGATGAACCAAAAAGTTAGTTTGATTAAGCACTAAACGTCTTAGTCAAGATCCTACCTAAATAAGCTGGATTCCCATCGATGTGAAAAATGTTTCGTAGATATCACACCTATTCAGCTGCTCGAATCTGCTCGATAAAACCAACGAAAAAGAATAATTCATTCGCATAGCCCGACTCTTTCTTTCAAACCTGTACGGTTATATATATTGCTGTCATTTCTCGAAAAATTGTAATCGTAGAATACTAACAGATTTCAGTCCTTGAAACTTCATCTTACATGTACACATTTGATAATATTTATGAAAAGATTCTTTTTTATTAGTAAATTAAAAAAATAATCAGTTCGGTCTTGTAGATTCTTCAAAGTGACATCTACAGAGAATGAGTGTGGAAATCAGTTTATGATTTGATCATATAAACAATATTATCTCAGAATTCTTTTTCACAATCAAAAATGCTCCTGCTTGACTTCTCGGAAAAAAGTTCATATATTCGGTGAGACGAATACCTTTTCCTGTTAGCTTGCAAATGAACTAATCAAGAATCATAATAACGAGAGAACTATCAAATCACAATAGAAATAATAATAATGTTACGCGTCGATTTTTATTTACCGTATAGTAACTATTTCTACAATTGAATGAGAGTACGGTAGAACTAAAAGTGTTTTAAAAAGTTATAAAGACGAACAAGAGATGACCGGCTTCGGAAGATTATTTTAGTCGGTGATAGTTGACCACAAATGGAAGAAGGATGTGCTGTTTGAGGAGAGAAACGGTTAACACGAAAAGAAAAATGAATACACTTGGAATGATGTAAAGAAAAATACTGAGAACGTTGAACCACATAAAAAATAGTAGGAGAGCTGAAATGTTGATTAAATTTATAAAATTAAATAATTCTGAAATATTTATGACGAAGCAAAAGATTTGAAAATTGAATAACAAGAGAAGAAATGGGAACATAATAGTCAAATTTATGAACTATCGCAGAATGGTAAAAGCCAGAACTTGAGATTTTTGATGAAGACAAGATATTTTTCTGATAAAATCAGTCAGACACATTTGTTTTATTCACTAATTTTATTTCTTTCAATATTTTAGATTATTTTATTTTCTGTCTTAAATTGAATACACAAACATGGTTGACGATATGGTTAATTCATTGAAAAGTGCTGCACTTGGTATTGGTGAATTTTTTACACCCGTCTTAAAACAATCGAAATTTCGTGAAACAGGCGTTATTACACCGTTAGAATTTGTTGCAGCTGGCGATTTTCTTGTACATCACTGGTATATCTCTGTTTTATTTCGACAATTCGTAATATTATCCAACTTTCTCGATCTCTATATTCTAGTCCAACATGGCAATGGTCACCAGGAGAAGAATCAAAAATAAAGAATTATTTACCGCGTAAGTTATTCGTCCATTCCGCTGTTATTTACTTAGTTCCTTGACGAAAGTTACGGTAGAATAAATAGTTTGTTTGTCTGTCGGCGTTGCAACGTATATGAAAAAATATAATTTTATTCGAAATTTTCGAAATAATGAAAGATTTTAGGCGCTGTTACGTTTTCGGACTGATAAAAATATGTAGATGAAATATGTAGATGCAATAAAAAACTAAAGTCATAATATACACAGAAAGAGTGTGTGTGTGTATGTTTTGATATTATTAAACATAAAAGTTGCATAGACCATTTTAGACGGTACAGAAAATGAAATCGTTGATATACATGGATTATAGTATGTCGTTGAGTATATAAATATTAAATATTTTAGTGGATCTCAAAATTTTGTAAAATTTTTTTTCTATCAATAACAAAATATAAAACGTCAAGGGATCAAGTGAAATCATAGCTGAGGGTTAGCTGTTTTTAAAAAGAAATCAAATTTTATCTCATCTTTGTTAGTAGAGTCGCATTTCTTTTGTGTATCTTAGGAGATAAACAATTTTTAATAACAAAAAATGTTCCATGTTACAAACGCTGTAAACACATGGAACATCGTGATAATTTAGAAAAAATAGTTGACGAACAAAATGGAGACGGTGGATGGGTTGATACGCATCATTATGCTGATAGTACACAAACAGAATCTCGAGAATATGTGGCTGATATGCAAAATTCAACGGCATCTAAGACTGCAACGCTTCAGAATAAAAAAATTGACGATAATGAAGTAGATGATGATGATGATGATGTTGATGCTGGTAGGTTAAGAAAAAATAACACAATAATTAACTACATATATTCATGTATTTTTCTTCAGCTGATATGGAAGAATTCGAACGACAAGAAATGTTTGATAATGATCCATTAGAAGCACCAAGTAAGAAAATAAAAATGAGAATATCTGTTATGCTACCATATTTTGTCGATTATTTCCTTTTTTTAGTAGTGAAATCATCAGCGAGTACGACTTTGCCTTCGACAACATCTGGTCAAGATGATTCATTAGTTCAAAATACTTTACAAACTAGAACATATGATTTAAACATAACCTATGATAAATATTATCAGACACCTCGTCTATGGCTTAATGGTTATGATGAACACCATAAACCTCTAACTGTTGAACAAATGTACGAAGATATAAGTCAAGATCATGCAAAGAAAACAGTGACAATGGAACAACATCCACATTTGCCCGGTCCACCCATGGCAAGCATACATCCATGTCGACATGCTGATGTTATGAAAAAATTAATACAAATGGTTGCTGAAAGTGGAAAAGAATTAGAAGTACACATGTATATTATGATCTTTTTAAAGTGAGTATATTGTTTTCGAAAAAGATAAAGTGAATGCAACTAAAGAAGAATTTTACATTGAATTTCGACTCTACAGATATTTACTTAGCAATGACTTGATTTTGAATTATGAAGTTCATAATAATTAGTGTGTTTTTCTCTTTGTTTCAGATTTGTTCAAGCCGTAATACCGACAGTTGAATATGATTATACCAGACAATTTACATTTTAAACAAAATGTGGTTTTTTTGTTTGAATTTGTTTTTATTTTTATTAGCAGAAGTGATCATATAACTATGATCTTGATTGTTTATTGTTCGCGTCGCATTTGAATGAATAATTCATCAACTCTTCCGATGGTCTTTTGTTTGTAATCCATTATTTGTATTCTGTTCTTTTCTCGAACGAAAATGTTCTAAGTCGTGTCTATTAAATTGTCTCTTTTTTTTGTCTGTCTACACTATTTATGTTCATTTAATCTTGAATAAAATTTGTTGTTGTTATTGTAATTATGAGAGAAAATAGTAAATAAGTTAACAATAATAGACTTAGAGAACGATATTGACTTTTTAGGTATATGGCATTAAATTTCTCTGATAACGACAATGAATTTATTCTGCTATGATATGTGTATTTTCTCTAATGATGCATATTTACGGTTAAGTTTTAAATCGGTAAGACAAGATAAGTTAAATATTGGTAATAAAAACAGTAGAATCATACTAATTTAACGAAAATATTGAACTAAAATTTGAAGAACTCGCAGTATGTGTAAGAAGTGCAGAGTAATGAATTGATATCACTTAAATTTCATTACACCTTTTTTTCCAGACAGATTGTTCTTTTGTGTGCTAGTGTCTAATACACAAATATTTCACTAGAAAGCAAATTATATGATATCTTCGACAAAAAAATCGTGCATAACAAAAAGCGAACTTAAACTTGACAAGTATTTGAATGAGAAATAAGTAAAAAGAGAAAGAAAATAGATGTGTATGTACGGGGTCTGTCCATAATATAGTTTCGATGCTCGTATGATTAATAACCATTTCATATGAAAGAATAAAACGAAAAAATTCTATTTTCTCTGCTTGGTATCCTTGTTTTTACGGTATTTATTCGATAGTAAAGTAGGTGTTAGTGCTGTTGCTTTTATCTCTTAGATAAACAATTCTTTCTTTTGAACAATTTTTTCAACTTAAAATTTAGTTTATGATTGATACATACAAATGCACACTTTAGAAATTCAAGCCTATTCTATTTATCTGTGGAATAATATCAAGGGCTAAACAGCTGATTTTGCTGATTTTCACCAAATGGAAAATCACCAGAAATGACTGGCAGTTATTGAAAATCACAAAGAATTACAGAGGATCACCGAGAATCACTGAAAATCAGTGAAAATCAATTGATTTTGGATGATTTTCGGCTTATTTTGTGCTGATTTCAGTCTGCTGTTTCCCCCTTGAATAGTATGCACTACTATCTACATTTTTCTCGTTTTATATTAAGTAAAATCGGGGACGCTCATTATAGGAATTGACAGGTCTATACATCTGACAAATTCAGCTCTATGAAACTGCAATTGACCACAAGCAAAGCAAGTACATAGACTGTATAATAGGAATGTATTTATTCAGGTCGTCCATGTTTAAAAAGTCACTGTGTTGATGATAAACATGTTTGTATCCGACAAAAAGATGTTCATTATCAATATCGTTGTGTACCGAAAATATATCTTAAATATCAGTCTACACCAGTCACGAATATCTTATTCAAAAAATTTTCAGTGCGCCTTTTCGTCGAGAAAAAAATCGAAAAATTGAAAGCTATGATTTTTTGAAAACTCACAGCTTTTTATAAAACATGCAATATCTCAGCTCCACAATGTTGTAGAATCTTCGGAATGCGTTTTTTGGAATCCGCAGGAAGAACTGCATAGTAGGAGACTTGGACGTTTCTGGTAATATTCTTATATAAGAATCGATGTCTAGCGATCGATCTGTTTCGTATGAGGAGACCAATAGTCAATTAGAAATTCGAGCAGCGTGAGTCAGTCGGCTAGTGGGCAGACAACGTACTTTACACGTACGGAGTTTTCATAATAGACCAAAGGACGTATGATGTTACTGAACAACCTTCTCCATTGTGTAAATTATTATCAACTTTAGATAGGTATTGTTTGGAATGAATGGCATCTAAAAGTCGACAATTAACAGCGTCACTATCATCTCGTATTCAAGACATCATTTTTTATATGGATGAAACAGTGACAAGACCAAGAGCTATTGATTTTGCTCGGATGCGTGAACATTGTGGAATATGAAGGCTGCCGTTCGAACACTATATCAGCTATATTCCGGATTTGGTGATTTCTGTTATGATTAAGTTGCTTCTATTGGCTGGAAAACTTCATAAGAATTTTTAGTACTTCTTATGAATTTCTTACGAACCTCTTATGAAAATCTTATAAGATTCTTATAAGGCACTTACGACTGTCGATGGGAAATCTTAAACAATCTTATATAAGAAACTGATAAGATACAGTTAAGAATCTTGTAAGACACTGGTAAGATACCTAGACGTTTCTTGTAAGATACTTATATAAGAATCGATGTTTAGGGATCGATCTGGTCCGTATGAGGAGACTAATAGTCGATTAGAAATTGTAGGTGAACTAACAAGTACAATATATATATATATATATATATATGACCAATTTGAATTCTATTTAGTATATAATACAATAACATTAGGTTTCAGAATAAACTTCAAAATAACAAATTATTTCAAAATCAGTCATATTACAGTAGGGTATGTTCATCTTTTACCAGGCTTTAACTAAGTTATTTCGTATTTTCTAAGTATTCATTTTTGTTTTAGATCCGATGTCTATAAGAAACATGAAGCAAAATGAAAATGATGAACCAATTCGGTATTATATCAACGATAAAAACGAATTGACAAATGTAAGTAAGCAAAGAAGGAAACTGCTACTTTATCACTCTTCTTTCTCACTAATAAAGTTCGGCATCTGAATTACTGTTTGTTGATTACACTAGATCTTGTTTTATAAGTTTATAACCATGATTTCTTTTTCAGGTGTATCATCGATCTGCCCAGGCAAGCCTTTTTTTGAGTCAACGTGCGTTGAAACGCGTTTGTTTGCAAGGGGAACGCATTTTGATGCGTTTTTTGTGAAAATGCATCAAAATCTTTCTTAGATTTCTGTGAGAAATAGCCATTTAAATTATTTTATCATAAAGAAACAAAAGGTGCGAAAAGTTACTGGCAAAAATATCATTTTTGAGATTTATCATAGTTGGACACCCCAAAGTGTCTACTTTCAACTGCACTATAATTTATTGGTTTTACGATGATTTTTTTGACACACAAAACTTGTAAAATGATTCTTTTACAAACTTTGGTTATTGAAGTTTATTCAGCATCCCTACAGATTTACTTTTTCCGGTAAAGATATGTAATATTTCAAGTCGTCTGGATAATTTTTCGTA